GGTCCTGAGAGCTTCCCAGGGCAGTAGGGTGGTAATCCAGGCACGCAGGCTGGGCATAGACATTTCACTTAATGCGCTTTAAGCTGGCAGAAGGTGCTTTACAGCCATAACAAAAACAGACATTCACGGCACATAAGGTGTTTTAAAAATGGTAGATCCTGCTCTAAGTTAACCTTAGATGGATATGTACCAACCTAAAGTGCTTTCTGTTAGTGCACGTTATTGAATGTCTATGCCAGCTCCCATCAAGCGTGATCGCTGCCATCCCAGGATGCATTGCACAGGGCTGCGCTCTAGCCTCAGGCAGAGCTCCTGTGCTCTGCTGGAGCAGTGGGCAAGCCCCGCTTCCTCACCTGTCACTGACCTGGAGACCCAGGAGCCCTTCCCCTGCAGCAGCCCTGACCAGGCAGCAGCACACTACTGCCTGGCCATGGCTTTTGCAGAGGAAAGGCTCTGGGGTCTCCCCACTGCAGCAGCTCTGGCTGGGCTACACCACACTGCAGCTGTCAAATTGTGGGGGCACCCTCCCAGCAGGAAGCGGGGCAGGCTGGGGAAAGGGGCCACTCTGGCAGCCTCCTGGGAGGGGTGCAGGAGCACCCACAGTGGCCAGTGCGGGCAGGCTGCGAGCCTCCCCACTGAACAGTGAACATCTGTTCCACTGGCTCCCTCTCTTACTTACACCACTTTGAATGAAGTGCAGGAAGTTAGAGCATTTCCACAAGGGGCTTTTTGAACCTCTCTACTTAGCCACAATGAGTCAGGTGTTCTCAGTTCTCTTGATTTGCTTGCGACTACTGTGTCCATGATCTTTCCACTTAATAAGGACTGTGCAAGATGCCTGCTTCTGGTTTGCACTTACACAAGCTTTGGTGCGTGTATTTATGTGATTTCACAATGCGTTAGCTTTGTTTCAAGTGTCTTTGTAACTCAAATATTTTGCTGATGAGAAAGGAGGATGCTCAGCACATTTCAGGAAGTATCTTTAGTATCTTGGAGAACAGGACTCCAACAAGCTGAAGCCTAGAATCAAGGAGCAAAATCGCAATGCTTTTCCATTTTTCTAACTCAAGATCCTGGAGTTTCTCACAAGAGGTTGCACAATAAATAATGGCCTTGATATTTCTTAAACTATTCACTGAGACTAAAAAGAAAAAAAAAGATTTGAATGCCAAAATGTCAGTGTTCCATGCAAAATAATTAATATAACACAATGGAAACTATTCTATCATCGATTGAAAGGGAATTTATGCAGGTAATGCATTAATGCTAGGGGGAGTTTGGCATGTAAATGGTGAGCACTTTGATGGGAAAACGGAGCCTGGTTATTTGGTTTTTATTTTTTATGTGTATGTACCATAAAATATGTGCTTGTCAGTGACAAATATATAAAAGCAAGAACAAATACCTGATCAACAAGGGCAATGGATAACTCTGCTTTGTAAGACTTTTGAAATTACATTAGATCAAATCATTTTTCACACATTGCAAAAGATGCAACAACCATTTCAATCACGCTAAGAGAAATCAATGTATTTTTGCTTTCAGAAAACAGCGTTTCACATTTCAGCATCTCCAGATTATCACTTTCATACATCTCTTTTTGTGGTCAAGTGCATGATTAGTACTTCTGACAGGATATTGGCCATTTTCTCATGAAGATCTACAAATTCTTATAAACAAATACCAGTTTGAAAAATTAAGAGCAAATCTGTGGACTGGAATGCAACCTACTTGTAATAGGAACAAAAAGCTGGCAATGAAATATAAACCTAAAATCACAGCAGAATGACCTACTTTAAGGCATTTGCCAAAGAGACAGTGTTTTAGACAGCTCTTCTGAAGTAGCGTCTTTATGTCTATGCCATCTGCAGATTTATTATTGTGCCTGAAAAAAAAAACAACCCTACAGTATGCCTGAACAAAACTAAGCTTCGTCTATAGGAAAGACTCTAGTATTGTGGGCACCACACCTACTGATGTGGTCCAAGTTTTTTCTTTAGAGGCACCTAATTAAGAAACCCTGACTCATTTACATGGATACGTTTGATCTAAATTACACTCCAAACCGCACCAAATTAAGAGCATCTGTGAATGTGAAATGTTTGTTCCCTGTGACTGGTAGAACAGGGCCAGCTCTGGACGGCACATGTTCAAGTGACGAAAAATATTTCAGATGTAATGTACTTCTGAGACCCGCTTTTCCACTAATAATTCACAATGAGTTAAACCAGTATCTCTGCTTCCATAATCATTTCAGGCTGTGAAAAAAGTGTCACTTTATTTTTAAAGCAAGAAAAGAGGTAGACGACCACCTACTTTGTTTGTTGTCACTGATAAAAGACCTTAGCACAGCCACTGGCAGAGATGCAAATCTGAATAGTGTAAAGTGTTGTCAAATATGCCATATCTTCTCTGTGAGAAGTCCTGAAATATGGATGAAAGGAAAACATCTTATCAATGACTGGCCACTGTCTATAGCAGTGGTCTCCAAAGTGGGGTGCGCAAGATGATTCATTGGGGTGCGGGAAGAAAATACTAGAACTCTTCTATTTATATTTATATAAATATACATATATTGGGGGTGCGTGCTCAAAAATTTTTTACTGATGGGGTGCACGACCAAAAAAGTTTGGAGACCGCTGGTCTATAGCAAAGGCCTCCTCTCCTTTGGTATAAGTTCTTCTCTTTGTTAACCAATAAGTTAATATTGTCTAAAGGGGATAGGTGAAGAAAAGGGTGTCAACTTTATGAAACTCTGTAAGCTTAAAACTGAAGTCATTGGGTGAGTTTCTTGTGCATGGCGCAGCCATTTTATGTTACTTTGCTGTCTTGAACATAAGCATACATCTTGTGTGTCTGTCTCCAGGAGAGTCACCCCAATGCCAAGCGGGAGGCGGGCAGGGGGATCCTCCAGTAAAAAAAAACAACTTTTGCCAGCACTTCTTTGTCCACTGGTGCAGGGGGAAGAAAGTGTGGCTAGAGCAGACGAAGCATTGGCACAAATCCCTGGTTCCCCTGGCTGTTGTTTTGACCCTTCAGGGCAGTTAGCATAAGCTCACACAGCCCTCATCTTGCTCTGACTTAAGCCAGGGAACCAGCTCTGCACATAGTGATCCCAGGATCACAGGAGTGCAGATGCATGCTTTAAAATGGTTTTGCCATGCTCCGTCTCTGTTGTGCAGTTTGTCCCAACCTCAAGATTTGGCCCAGAGTGTTTTGAACTGCAGGGTTTGAATGACAGCTTTGTGCATTTCAGTTAGCCTTTTCCTCTTCTTTATTCCTCTACAAACAGCACAAGTTACATAATATCAGTGAAAATTTGTTTATGGGAAGTATAATAGTCAGCGTTCTATGATTACATTCAAATGTAAACCCACATTCTGACATCTAAGGATCTTCTTGCTTTCTAGTATGTTATATATGATGAAGGTTTATGTTCTGGGCTTTAAGAAAAGGGGGAGGGGGAGACTTTATAAATAACATGACTCCTTTTGTCTGAAGAGATTTTAATACATTTGTCTGATCTACTGTTTTTGCAGTAGCTAGAATATAATTTGAATATATTAATATTTTCAGCAACTGTGCTCAGGGAACCCAGTGAATAACTTATGCATGGATACATAGATATACTTCAGACAGAGGTAATGTTTTTAGCCCTTATGGTGGTAATACTTAGAAACACACAATGAAAGAGCCTGTTCTTTCCTCCTCTTTGTTGTGGGTATGCATTGTGATGGTATGGAGCCAGTGTTCTTTCTGTTGTCTACACAGCCTGGATTCAATAAGCAGTTATATATGCATATTATGACAATGTGGTCAAGGAAACCAGATTTTTTTACTATACCTTCATGTGCCTGTATAGTACAAAATCTGGTATTTATTTTTTTTGTCCTCATTCAATATGTTAACAAAATCATAATTTGATACAGGTTATGTTCATTTTATAATTAAAATTATAGAGTTAGATGAAAAGGCAAGATGTTACTGAATGGAAAATATTTATCTTTTCATACATTACGCATTATGGCACAAAGTAAAATCATAAATCTGTGGAATGACTAACCCATAGCCAAGTGTGTGATAGATCTTACTTGTCTCCTCTCTGGTGTCAGAGTCCCGCAGTTGCCTCTGTCTCAGAAGCCAGGATTTTTCCTCTGACACTCTCATCCCCAGCCACTAGAAGGCATGACTGCTGTTCTGTAAGAAGCTACCTCTCTGTCTCCTCCTCTGCAGCTCTCATTGCTTCTCCATTATGTTGTGAGCCTTTAAAAATATTCTAGCTGGGAAGAAAGAGAGGAGGAACCTGAAAAGAAGGCAATCACCGGGACTGTCCATCTCTTAATCCTCTTGCCATCCTTACTAGTGCTAGAAACTGCTGCTGTAAGCCTGTGGAACAAAGAAGCCCTTGGGAGACAGGGAAAGAGACACCTATTGAGGGATAGGATTGCCAACCTTCCCAGACTGGCCAGGAGTCTACCAGAATTAGTATCAGCAGTGACTGCTGAAAACAATCCAGAAGACTGATATTGTGAATGGGTTGACCAATACAATTAATAACATTACGTCATGTTGGGGGGGGGGAATCTCCCCGAACAGCTTCAGTCAGAGTTGGCAACCCTATTGAGAGATCCCACCAGTGGTAACAAAAACTTAGGAAGAACTGAAGAGAAGTTGGGGAGAGGCCTCATGTTGATAATGCAGGCAGAAGTTGGCCTGTTAGTGCAGAGTATCAGAAGACAATTTTTGGGAAAGAAGCCTGGAGCTGGGGTCATTCTCTTATTTAAGATATGCATCTTATACCAGTTTGATACTCTGTTGTTTCATGTTATGACCACATGCCCTCCTTTCCTAGGCAGGCTGCTGTGTTGAAAGCCAAATATCTTTATCATTTAGACCTTCTAGAAACTCTACCTAACCCGCACGCATCTTTACTCCTGACATTTCTGGCGTTCCAGTTTTGGCAGCTACCCTCAAAGTAACATATTTACCAAGGCAAAATGCAGAATCTGATCCTTTATTTTTATATGTTATAATAGTCCATATCATGTTTATATCCATTATATAGTCTGCTACCTAGTTTTATGTGATAGATACATACTAGTAATACTGCACTGGTGTGTTCCTCTGATCCATACTTCACTCTTATTGATCGAATACATTGTTTTCTTCTGTAGACTGGATTTAAATTATGCTTGCATTAATGGCACTCTCTCTACAAACTTTGAAGTTACATCTAAGAGCTAGAAGTTGTGCAGGGTCTTCTTCCATACACACAAATAGACTCCTGCCCAGTCACAGCCCAACTTAATCCTATTTAATAATGTAATTTCTATTGACATTGCAGAAAACTGCAATAGCAGGTTAGGTCTGTGGATGCAGTCTGAAAGACAAAATATAGAGAACATAAGGAATCAAAGTTGTCTTATTGTAAATTCATCTATGCACCAAAGTAGAATTCACTACAAGGACCAAAGATGTTTTCACAGAAGGCTTTATGTCACTAACTCATTCATCTTTGCAGGGACCGGATGGTAAAAAATATTTAGGCTTCTAAATAGTGGGATTTTCTACTAAATAGAAGGCTAAGGTATGAAAGTAGGGCTGGGAAGGGACCTCAGGAAGTCATCTAGTCCATATCCTTGCTCAAGGCAGGTTCATCCCCGACTAAATCATCCCAGTCAAGTGTATCTCCAAAATTTCCAAGGATGCAGCTTTTCTCAGTAGCTTGTTCCAATACTGGACCATCCTGGTAACCAACCAGCAAATTCTTCCTAGCCTCCAAACCTAACTTTAACTTGCTGAATCTTGAGGCAATTACTCTTAGTCCTGTCCCCTATGGCCAAAGAGAAAAGCCCATCTCCATCTTCTCTATAATGGCCTTTCAGGTATTTGAAGACTTTTATCAAATATCCCCTTAGTCTTCTCTTCTCCACACTAAAAAACCCTCATAAGCCTTTCCTCATAAGTCTTTCTCGCCAGGCCCCTAATCATTTTGGCTGCTCTCCCCTGGACTCTTTACAGTGTATCCTTCTTGAAATATGTGCCTAAAAATGGACACAGTACTCCAGGTGAGGCCTCACCAGTGCTGAAAAGAGCAGAAGAGTTGGTTCCTCTAGTCTGAAAGTGACATTTCTGCTGATACAACCCAGTATGCTGTTGGCTGCTTTTGTAACAAGAGCACTCTGTTGGGTCATATTCAGCCTATGGTCTACTGTAACTCCCACGTACTTCTCTGCAGTACTTCTTCATGGGACTTAGGTACTCTGGCACTTCAAAATCCCACAAGGCCTTTGTCTCAATCTTTAGGAACATATCCATAAAAATCTAGCCTAGTCTTTAGAAATTTATGCAGATACATTATTAACCATTTCGTTATTCCCTAACACACATAGTACTTGTTGGAAACATGAAGGCTTAAATTCTTTTACCCTTTTTGTTCCCAAGTTGCAGCTTTCTAGCTGTCTAAGTAGCATTTTTGGCATTTGCACAAAAGTATGAGATAACACTACCATGCTGGATGGACATCTAATCATCCATACGGCTACTGTGCATGCACAGAAGGCTATACCCTGACCAGCGAGGTACATGGCTATGGCCATGTGTACAGCTGGTCACAAAATTCCATCTGGCAAAAACTCATGGCTCACGGATGTTAAGCTCTAGGGGTACAAGAAACTGGCCTTTTCATGTTTTGAACCCAATAGTTGAGTTGTTAGGACACTCACCCAGGAAGCAAGGATCCAGGTTCCAGGACACCCTGCCACCCCTTACCCAGAAGGGGTTAGGAATTGTATTGCTTTGACTTCCCAGAAGAATGCTCTACCAGCTCACTAAAGGTTAGGCATTACACAGTCCCTTCCTCAAGCCCACTTTGAAGTTGAGCCATTTGCATGTTGCATGTAATATGGATTAGCGAGCATGAATGGAGAGCAGTGGGGAAGTTTCCATCCCACTGGGAACAAGCTAGATGCCAGGGCCTGCATCCTTGCAGAGCAGTATCTCTCTCATGGAGCCACCTATCCTCCAGCTTGTTCTTTTTCTCCCCATCCCATCCCAAGGGGGCAGAAGCATAATGAGGCTCAGGATTAGATTAATTTAGCTTTCATCAGATGCATACACCTGAAAACTGCACTGATTTGCACTATGGATGCAAAGGCCTCTCTGACCTTTCCTACAGCTGCAAATAGTCAACAACACTGGCCACACTCTCCTGAGGTCCCACACCCCCTTCTTCCTTCAGGGAAGTTCGATGTGGCTTTTAAAACAGAGTTGCTTGGAGAGCAAATGTCATAGTCACCTAAGCCAGCTCTTCACCTGTCAGGGTCTTCCTCTTTTCTATTGTTGAATTCAGCAGTAGAACAGTTTAGGTCAGCCCAGTAGCATATCAGCCAGGTCTGCAGATTTTGGTTATTCATCACTGGCAATCCCTCACAGTCAAGGATGATTGTCTCCTATGGTTGTCTGATCTGTGGGTCTGAAGATGGACGACGAGGCCTGTCCAGGATCTACAGACTCTGTTGCAGCTTATGTACATGCTTCTATATAGGGTGAGTGGCTCTGGGTTCTTAGTGCAATCTGCAACACACTGTCTCTGCCCCATGTTTCCATCTGCTGTTGTCGACAAGTTTAAAATACTCAGATCCTTGCAGCAAACTCTTCCTCAATTTGGGGTGGTCCTGAGTGATCACCTCCTATGAGTTGATGTTGATGCTGCATTTTTTCAAGTTGGCCTTGAGAATATCCTTGAAGTGCTTTCTCTACCCTCCTCTTGAGTGTAGGCCTTGACTGAGCTGGGAGAACAGAGCTTGCTTCAGGAGTCTGGAGTCTGACATCCAGATGATGTGGCCAGCCTAGCAACATTGATGTCAGATGATCATTGCCCTGGGGCACATGGTGTTTACTTGTGAGAGGATGCTAATGTTGGTGGATCTGTCTACCCACTGAATTCAAAGGATCTCCTGCAGGCAACATTGATGGTACTTCTCCAGTGACTTACATAGATGATTACACAGTCAGGTCGGTGGCAAACTGGCTTAGGGGTCACATGCAGAAAATGGTGGTGGACAGGTTGGTATTGGCCTGGAAGGATGTGGGCAGTGGAGTCCCAAAAGGGTGGTCCTTGGACATGTGCAGTTCAATGTCTTCATCGGTGACTTGAGGGCATGAAAAGCACCCTGTCCAAATTCTCAGATGATACCAAATTATGGGGTAAAGTTAACACACTAGAGGGTAGGGAACAAATCCAGGTGGATCTGGACAGGTTGGAAAAGTGGGCAGAACAGAATAGGATGCAGTTCAACAAAGATAAGTGTAAAGTGCTGCACGTAGGGAGAAGGAATCGCCAGCACACTTACAGGCTGGGGGAGGACCTTCTCAGAAGCACAGTGGTGGAAAGGGATCTTGGAGTCATTGTTGACACCAAGATGAACGTGAGTCATCAATGTGATGAAGTGATCAGTAAAGCTAACCACACTTTATCATGCATTAACAGGTGGATGACTAACAGGTCCAGGGAAGTGATACTTCCCCTCTGTGCAGCATTGGTCTGCACTTGAAGGACTGCATCCAGTTTTGGGCACCACACTTCAAGAGGGATGTGGACAACCTCAGGAGTGCTCAGAGGAGGGCCACTCGTATGGTTAGGGGCCTGCAGGCAAAGCCCTACAAGGAGAGATTGAGGGACTTGGATTTCTTCAGCCTTTGCAAGAGAAGGCTGAGAGGTGATCTTGTGGTTGCCTACAAATTAATCGGTGGGGGCAGGGGGGAAGTAGCAAGGAATAGGTGATGCTCTGTTTACCAGTGCACCCCTTGGAGTAACTAGGAACAACAGCCACAAACTGACAGAGAGCAGCTTTAGGTTAGACAACAGGAAGAACTTATTTATGGTAAGGGTTGCCAGAATCTGGAATGGGCTCCCAAGGGAGGTGGTGCTCTCCCCTACCTTGGGGATCTTGAAAAGGAGGCTAGACATGCACCAGCTTGTCCAACCCCCTGCTCAGACAACCCCAGCACTTTCCTGGCCAGGGCAGGGAGTTAGACTCAATGATCTATTGAGGTCCCTTCCAACCCAAATATCTATGAATCTATGACTTGAGGTGTCTCCTGTACGTTATCCACATCTCAGCTCCATACAGCAAGGTGGGGATCACGACTGCCTGATAAACCATGAACTTGGTTTTGGATCTGATGTTGCAATCTTCAAACACCCACTTCCTCAGGCATCCAAAGGCTGCACTTGTATATTTGATGTGACATTGGATTTCTTCATTAAGGGTAGTCTTCTGCAAGAGATGGCTTCCAAGGTATAGGAATTACTCAGCCTTCTCCAGAGTCTCACCATAAATCTGAATTATTGGAGCTGGGATCTGTTCATTAAGAGCTTGTTGATGGAGGACCTTAAGTATTCTAAATGTTAAGTGTCAGTCCAATTTCCGTGTATGCCTTGGTAAAAACACTGATGATAGCCTGAAGGTCTTCTTTTGCGTGAGCACATACTACTGCATTTTAAGCATACTGGAGCCTGATTGGGGTTGGGATGGTCTTGGTTTTGGCTCCAAGTCAGATGAGATTAAACAGCTTACCACTCATTTGGTAGTTTAGCTCCACTCCAACTGGAAGCTTGTTGGTGGTCAGACGGAGCATTGCAGTGAAGAATATCAAGAAGAGTGGTGGAGCGAGGATGTAGCCTTACTTAACTCCCATCAAAGTGATCTATGATAGATCAATTATTGAGAACCACTGCTTGTATACTGACATGAAGCAGGCAAAAAAATTGCAATGAATTTCGGTAGGTGTCCATGCTTCAGAAGAATCCTCCACACCACTTCTCAGTTGACAGAGTTAAAGGCTTTTGTGACGTCAAAGAAAGCCATGTAAAGGGGTTTATGCTGTTCTCGGCATTTTTCCTGCAGCTAGCAAGCAGCGAAGATTATGTCAGTTCATAGTATCATAGAAAGTTAGGTTTGGGAGGGACCTCAGGAGGTCACCTTGTCCAACCCCCTGCTCAAAGCAGAAACATCCTCAACTAGATCATCATCAATAGTGCCTCTTGATGCCCTAAATCCACACTGAGACTCTGGGAGCTCTTCAGCAAGTGGAAGGAGATGGTTGGCCATCCACTGTAATTTCCACGCCACAGTCAGACTTGTCTCCTTTCTTGAAGATTGTCATGATCATAGTATCCCTGAGGTCATCTGGTATTTCCTTATCATTCACGATCCTTAAGATGAGGGCATGGAGCTGTGATGTGAGCTCCTCACCCCCCTGCTTAAAGATTTTGGCAGGAATTCTTTCAGCTCTAGTTTACAAGTAAAAACAATGTACTACAAAGAAAATATCTTAGTTCTTGACCACCTTTAGTTCTAGATCCTTTTGTAGCTACAAACTCATTATAATGTTTAATGGAAGTGAGGCAGGAAACCAGAATTATTTTAGCCTGATAGAAAATGAAAGGACAGAAAATGAAGAGTGTTCAGCATAGCAGATTCAAGTGTGATTTGGTAACTCCTAAAAGAGGCAGCCCTCCATGTACAAAAAATTTTGGACATTCATTGAGCATGCAAGGCAAATGGGAGCAGTTTTGGCTATGGTCACATGACCTTTTGAGACAGTCAGGTGGATAAGTGAACACATAAGATGAATTTGAATGCACAAATCCTATTTAAACCTGAGGAGGTGGAAATGGAAGATACAGATTTGCAGTACGTACAATAAAGGATATAGTCTACAAAGGCAGAGGTTGGTGGGACACAAGATGTCCACTCCAGGCACTTCATGCAGCTAGTGCAGTGTGCTACAAATGCAAAAAGAATAAACATCAAGCTAAGGTGAGTGAACAAGACAAACAAAGTGTGAGTTAAGAAGACAATGTTGACATAGTAAATACACTGCTTAGGGGGATGTGAAATGTAAATAAGTTTAAAGAAATCAAAGCTCTTGGATAGCACATACTCGCTAGTGTATTTAGGAGATACATTCATCCTGTTCATGCTCAATATCAGTGCTGAAACAATTTCAATGCTGGGAGGCATGTTAAAGCATCTTTCAAATCTGATACAAATACAGTGTCTATAAGTTGCATTAGTAGCTTGTGGAGAGTTCAGAACTAAACCTGAAGGACTAGGAACTGTAGTTGGGGTCACAGCCCATGCATAATCATTGCTTTTCTGTATGCAGGCTTTAATCTTATCAGCAAAAGAGGGACAATATAGGCAAAAGATTTCATGAGGGAAATGTAGTGGGCCAATTCCCACAGGTTATTCAAAGAATAAAACTGGAAAGAAACACGTCATATATGAAGCACCTACATATCTAAAACTTTACAAAAAAAGGGAAATGCCAGTGTAACTTTGTGCTATGCATATCATGAGGAATATTGCTTACCATATAGAAGAAAAACATCCATTCATGATACTGGATAAAAGTTATGCATTATTGGCAGGATAAAGCTAAGTTTGTCCTAAGAGTATTCAAGACTCATTGGAACAAGTTGCCTAAAGTTGAGCGCCTCAGTTTGAAAATTCCAACTCTTCCTGGCACTGCTGACATCGCTGACATTTTTTAGTGACTTCAGCAGTAATGGTCAGAGTTTCACCTATTGCATGGAGGGTAAAATTAAGGGAAATATTAACCTAATTAAATTCCTCAGGATGTTTTCTAAGCATGCTGTATCACAACAGTAGACAGCCTTGACAGGAAACCAAATGCATAGGATTGTTAGTACAGTAACATAACTGAAAGGGGAGGGACAGGGAGAAGGTGACTGGGGTAGCAGTCCCAGGCAGTAACTTAAGGTGGGAAGACATAAAAATATCTGCGGCCAGCCAGCCACACTACCACCACTGCTTGGCAGGGGCGACAAGTAGGGGGTGCACGCAGGTACACATGCACCCCCTGAGCTGGGCAGTGTGCCCCCTACAAAAAGGGGCTTGCTCACCAGCAGGGTCTGCGGGAGCTCCCCCGCTTACCATCACCATGCTCCTGCTGCTGCTGTGCCCCCCCCAGCCACTAGGGGCATGTGTTGTTCATGCTGCTTGGGCACAGAGCTACCCTGTTACACCTCTCTGCTAGTCCAGTTAGTAAACCTGTATAAAAGGAGCTTGGTATCACTTCTGCTTTTGCTGGAGATCATGTCGTGCAGGGCATAGGAGAAAATAAGGTTTTCTGAAGAGTAACAGAGCATAACTTGTGAACAGCAACTTCAGAAAACCCATAGTACCACTGAACCACAATGCCAGTTGCACTGCTCCTTCTGATCCGGTGAGAGAACAAATGGGCCTGCAGTGGAATAGGTAAAAACCAGAGAACCAGGCATGCACACAGAAGTGCAGCTCCCAGCTATAACTCAGAATGATTTTTGCAAAGCGTTCTGAGTTACAGCATCACCCCAGACCAAACAGAAGTTCACTGCTGGGTCCAGGGGAGGGGCATCTACCTGTGGCTGGGAGCCTGCAGCCAGGTTCCCGTAGCACTGGCTAGGGCTCTCTGCCAGCGCTTCTTGTTTTCAGAATGGGAGGGGGGAAAGGCAGTGGAGGGAGCTCATTCTTGGGGCTCCCAAGCTGATGCTGAAAGGTGAGGTGGGTGAATTGGAGCTCCCACCTACCTCAGGGGGGCTCCATCTGCTCCCCCCTTGGGGGGGGTTGAAAACCCCCCAGACCGAACTCCCTCCACTCCCTTTCCCCCCCTCCCATTCCAAAAACAGCAACAGACTGGGAGCTCCGCAGACACAAGTTACAAAAGACGCTGCATTTTGAAACATCTTTATCTGATACCTCATGCAATGAGGGATCAGATTGTCACCTGATCAGCCATTTTTTAAGCTGTCTGCAGTTGTGCACTTGTGTTTGGTCACAGCTATATTTCTGTGGCCAGATTGGGCAAAAATTGTCACTTCTGTCTGCACCCTTGGTTCAGGACATATCCAGTGCATCCTCTTAAGTTTCTAATCTTGTTCTCCTCTGCTAGAGTTTTTGGTTGTTGCAAGTGTAGAGGTGCTGACAGTGTTAAAACAAAGGAAGGGACAGTACTGTCTAACTGAAGGTAAAAACAGATCTTTATCCCCTTTGACTGGAATCAAAACAGGCAGGGGACAGTTATTTACACATGCGGCTTGAATGACAGTTAACTCAAATTAGCTGTGATTGTCTCAGTGTTATCTCAGATACTTCACAGGGACTTAAAGTAGGACAATGAGTTTGTACATCTGTAGCATCCCAGGATAAAAGGTTTTTTCCCAGGAAAAAAAAATAGGACACCTGTTTTTACCAGGAGGCACTAAGCTTGCTATGAAGGAGCAGAATTACATTACTGTACTAACTGCTGGTGGTCAGTAGCTTTCCATTTTTCTCTCCAACAAAATGAAACATTCCAGTTATCACAACTGTGTATGCCACTACTAGTTTGCCTGAAAGCTATTTTCCATGTAACATCATTTTTGAGTATCATCCAAACTTTATAAAAGCAAACAGGATGAAGCAGCAGCAGCACTGAGTTCTAGTTTTTGCCACAGACTCATTATGTGATTACAGAAAAAGTCACTTAGTATATTAGAGACTCAGTTTCCCTGTTGGGAAAATGTAGATAGCTTGCTAATCCACCTTTGTAAAGAGCTTCAAGTTCTGTGGACGAACAGTGCTGAATATTATTATTAGAGACAAAGTCAACAGCATAATGAGGAAACATGTGTTTTTTCCCCTCGCTGACCTAATTTCTCTCTTCACTTTAAAATCTTCTATTGATTTTAATTAAGCTTAAGCTAAAGCTAAGCTCACAAATCTAGCAAACTTAAGAACTTCTTTTAAGTGAATTTGCTCGCCTGTCAGACTTCCTCAAGCTTTCCCAGATGTGTTTAAAAGTGTATTTCCAGCACAGACATGCATTGGAATAGCTCTATTTCTGTCTTCTAGTGTGACTAGTAGATGACATGTGAGTTCAAATTCTACCTTGCTTGAATCAGGCTTGTATACAACATTCTTCACGAACCAGTCACAGTCCCTTTCTCATCAGTGATAGCCAGAGGCAGTAACAAGGGTGAAAGATATCTATCACAAAAAGTCCCGTGTCAGTGTGTTCCCCCAATTTATTTACTGACCTTCAGTGTAACAGCCACACTCCTGACCCTCATGAGATGAAGCCTAAGGGGAAATGGCACTGAGCACCAATTCCATATCCTGTTGTTCTGTGGTCTAAATTAAGTGCTAATTAATTACCACTGGCATCTTTGGCATTGCCTGTCAAATTGGATTTAGGATATCCTTTCACTGTTTAAACAAATAGCCCTACATCTCCAGCTAAAATCCCAAGTGTTAACATTTTCTTTTCTTACAAATTTATATTTAAAAATTAAACAAAATATGTCTGTGGACATTGCAGGTAGAATTCCAATAAAAGGAACAGGAATTGGTATTGTCAATTTTGATTAATAGTCCTTCATTAATAAACATCCTGTTATTCAGTTTCCACCTGCAGTTGCTGATGTTGCCTGGAATCAATTAACTCATATAATTTGATTTATTTTACAAAGACATTTTTGGATGTGCTGTGCTGATGATAAAGGTTCTGTATTTGCAGCTCTTGATTCAAGTGAGATTGTTACCTAACTGCTTTTTATTGTAATGTTGCAAGGAAATCTGGCTTCAGGCATTCCCAAATTTGAGAAAAAAGTAATTTAGAAACTGCAAGCTGCTTTCTTTGAAAAGTATCTGCTGCCTTCTGGGACACAGGCCTCAAAAGCTTATAGATTCTGGCTCTATAAGAGACCAAGTTCTTCAATAGATAGTTGGTCAGAAGTTGGAGTTGCAGTAATAGAACAAGAAATTAAAAGTTTCCACAGGCAAAAGGCTCAAAGCCAGTCAAGAATGCAGTAAGTAGGGCTGTGCATGATATTTGGGTCTGAAACTATTTTATATTCTCTCTCACCAGAGTATCTAGGTGCCTAGCTAGATACTTTGTCACTAGAGTAACTAACATATTAACACCTGTTTAACATCTGTCATGAGTGCTTTGCTTGCTTGCATTCTCTTCTTAAGAAGAAGGCAAGGTCAAAGATGTGTACCTTGCACTTGAAGCTGTAGGTGGAGAGGGTTGTGATACTTCTTATTCTTGTGGGAATAAGAGGTGACCAAAACAAAGCCTGAATCTCCCTGTGGGTCTGGAAATGTGGTGTTTGGACATGCAGCATCAAGGTGAATTGCCATGGCTTCGGATCAGGCTTGCAGGCTGGGCCTCCATGCTGAATTGGACCTGTGGACAAGTCCTATGGACTGGCCCTATGCACCAGATTCAGGCTGCAGACCAATCCATGCCACTCATCTGGCCCAAGGAGCTGGATTAATTACTCACCTGGATGCATTATCCATATACCCCTTCATATACTTATAAGAATCCTAATCAAAATCAGTTTGTATTCAGTCAGAAGTATAGTGCAAGCCAAATATAAAAGACAATATGGACATTCACAACCAAATGAAAAGCAAGAGTCCTAAACTTGGTATGACAAGCAAGTCAGAACCCACATGGGTCATTTCATGACCTTCATCCAGCCACTGACCTTCTGGAAGTTTGCCAAAAATCACTGGTGGCATGACCAGAACTGTTACGTATGAAACTAAAATAACTGTAAGCAGCTGAGAAGACAAGAGATAGTTTGAGGATATGCACCTCTGCATGGAAAGGGTTTGGAACCGTGGGGTCATGAGCAAAGCCAATAAAGAGGCAAACAGAGCCCATCCTTCCTTCACTACCTCTCTGTCCCCATTTCAAAATAAAATATGTATTTGAAGTACACTTCACTTATAGAGCCCTTAGACTTTGGACTGTAGATCTCAAAGCACTTAACAAAGGTTGGTAAATATGATTATCTCATTGCACAAATTAGAAACCCAGTTTGTACATGTTAAGGGAGATTTTCAAAAGCACCTGGGATTCAAGTCCTGTTTAAAAGCAGGTGCATTTGATAAATCTCTGAGTCACCCAAGGTCACAGTTAGTGGATAGAAACTGAAAGAAATGAATGTGTCCCATGAGTCCTAGACTTTTACATATGGTCCCAGGTCACACTGCCCCTGCTCATATATATTCTCTTTACCGCAAGCATTGGCCTTCATGCAAAACCACCCAGTGGGGTGCAGAGCATCTGATGACTATTTTTGATATAACCAGCTGCATATTTGCTAGGAGATCATATAGTTTGAGGGCAGGGTGATATTCAGGGTTCAGTTCAGTTCCCCATTTTGTCACTGACCTCCTGAGTGCATGACTCAGGGGAAGTCACATAGGACTAGATCTACAGAATGACTTCGACTTCCTGGCCCTGAGAACTGCAATACCTAACGTTAAAAAGTACATGGCTCCTAGAATATATGCATCTGAATTCCCATCCCTCTAGAGAGCTTAAGTGTTAGAATCAGGGGTCAAGTTAGATGCCTCTGGCTGCTAGAGATGCAGAATGCTGAATTTTCTTTTGAGGGCAGCACCCTAGCTAAAGATAATGGTGATGGTCCTGCCACTCATATGTGTCGTATTCTACTGCTTAGAGCACTCATGCAGGATCTGGTAGATTTGGATTATAGGCTCACTTCAGCTTTACAAGATTCAAACTCACATCTCTTATGTTGTTGGGAACTGCCAAAACCATGAGGGTACAAAGTTGTCAGAGCAAGAGGTGCTACACGACTGTGGAGCTAGAAGTATCATGGAGGACACCAACCAAGAGAGAATATGACTTTTGTAGCCTAGCAGCTAGAAACTCCCCTAAGAAGGAGGAGTCCTGGGTTCTAGTCCCTGTTTCCAGCAACATGAAAAGCAGAAGTTACCTTAGAAGACAGATAAGAGACAGATGCTAATAGAATACCTGAAGTTACTTGGATACTGTGAAAATAAAGGGAGTATGCAACATTATACTGAATAAAGCAAATTCAGACTGTTGGAGTTATTTTCTGTTTTTATCCAGTGACTATCTAATATAAAAAGGATAAACAAAGCTCAGGACAGGGACCAGAACCTAGGGAGCCCTGTTCCCAGTAGAATACCTAAACCCAAGACTACAGCATCAGGCTAAAGCCTCACACTTGCTTTCCTTCCAAGCCTGTAATTCCAGCATGCCTTTTTGCACAGTGACCTGGCTTGAACAGGACTGCAGGTGGATACCTTGACCCATACAGTTCTACTGTCTGGAAGTTAGGGCACTCTTATGGGAAGCTTGAGGCCTCCAGGTCCGAGGTAGGGCAAGAACCCCATATAAGCATCTCTAACCATGGGTGTTTAAACACATTGTCCGGGGGAGAGGGAGAGCTTTAATTAGACTGGATCCAAGAACTGCTCTAATTAAAGCACCTGGAGCATCTTGTATATCAGCATCCCATTGCTTAAAAATGGCAGTGGGGGTGTTTTAACTTAAGCTCATTACCATGTTCCAGCAGACTCGATTAATTGAGTCTGTTCCAATACACTGTAATTACAGCATGGCGAAGCAGACTTGCTGCTTGTATATAGGTACCCCACTAGGCTTGTATGAAGCTCCTGCTCCAGATGAGTTACTGGATGCATGGTGCACTTTGTAGTGAAGGCAGTGCTGATGTTATGTGTTAAACCCCACAGATTGCATATCTCCAGAGATTTAGGGAGAGTTTAGGCTTCAGTCTGCCCCGTATGGGATCAAATTACACCCAGGTGGCAGCTGGGTGCTCTGGCTATTTAGAGAGGGCTGCTTCTATGCATATTTGGTAGCCTAAGTTCAAAATGGAGGTGCTGAATGAAATTAGGTGCCTCCAGGTTTAGGCTTCCCGGATCAGTTTCTTGGACTGGGGTACCTAACATCTGTTTAAGTATGATTTCAGGTGCCTAAAGACTAGTCAGGGTTCTTTCCTCTGTGCCTTGCCACCTGAAGAGAGAAAACAATTCTCTTACCTGAGTTTTGGGGTGCTGACTAATGATGGCCTATGTCAAACTGTTACTTTGATATCTCTTCCTATTAAATAAGGATGAAGCCAATGGTTAGATTAAATGCCTTTCTCCAGCTGTTCACAGCTCTTAGCCTTTCAGCCAAGTAATAACCTATCCTCAGACTTGTTTTAGACATTATTTTAATATCATGGCTCCAGTATAGACCACTAGCAACAAACTCCTGGATAAGGTATGTATGGGGATTCCCTGAGGATGCCCATTCCTAACTTTGTCATTATCAGCTGCCAGTTACTTTATATAGCAGTCCAATGAACACAGTCAAAGGCTATTTTGGAGAAGGAGGCAGTGCTAAATGCTGAATCTTGTAACCCAAGGAGTCAAAAGAGGAGGGATTTTCCCTAAAGAGTAATGATTAGTGTCCACAGCTGCAGAGTACAGGAAACCTATGGAGTTTCTGTAAGCCAGGAGCTACAAAGGCTCAGTGAGAGCAAGCCCTTAATATGGCTGAACTATTTCTGACCTTTCTTTTAGTGTCTGACCTGGTTTCTCTATTGCTGATCTGATAGGTATTGTTCTGAGTTCAACAGTTGGACCAAATGTGAATGTAAAGCAGATGGATGAAAGAAAATAGTTTACAACTGTATTAATAAAGTTTAGGTATTTCCTGTAATTCCTAAATTATATATTCATTACAGAATAAACTACATAGTACATTTTGAAAAGGGTATACATTGTAATGTAATATTTTGGAATTCAACTAGAGAGCATAAATCTCAGATACTACATACACATGCACAGAAACCTACTTACAAAACATAGTATACAAATTTAACAAACAGCAAGCTAGGGATTCAATTGATAGTGTTTGCATTTACTTAGCTTCATCAGCTAGTGAATACCACTGCACTGCAACTGAGCAAATCATCCATAAAGTAAGTACATAAATAATAATGAGGGTTAGTTTGCATTCATAAAATATCGAGTATCCCAATTTATTACTAAATTTTAAATTTATCTACCTTGTGTTGCAATGAACTGAACAGTTTAAATAAATTGGGCTTATGGTACCAGGGGCTCAGTTGCATTGATTATATTGGTAAGTATCTCAAGATGGGGTTAAGCATTGTGATAGTCCTCTGCAAAGGCTACATTATTTGGGTTGAGTTGAGTAATCTTACAAAATGCACACAGTTCCCTTAGGATATGGAATGTCCCTGCGTGGTCAGAAAACAAGGCTTTGACCTTTCATAAAAGGACACTTACTGTTGTCAGTGTTTTAAAATGACTCCCAAAGTCATGCCACACACCTCAGTTGTCTTCTTAATAATAAACAACACTTACAATCTTCTTGAAAAAACAACAAACATAGCTGGGTTGAAGTAAGTTTACCGTAGGAAATTACTTTACTATAATATGCTGTCTATCAGAAAAACATATAACATAGGCCTTGAATTAAAAGGAAACACATTCAGAGGAAATCTGATAATTTATCTGTGCATCATGCTGTATATGTGCTTTCTTCCTAACACTGCACAACTAGTCTGCAAAAGCCCTGTCAAAATGTGCTTATACACAGAGACATTATCACTTTGTAGAATGGTACGTTTTATTATCAGGTTATTTTCCAGTACATTTGGCACAGTTAAGGTAAGTATATTAACTTTATTCCCGAATAAAGAAAACAAAGTTGTACTGAATGTCTCAGCCATTGTCAGTGACTTAAGAACTGACAGGAGGTCCAAGTAATCAACCCTGTCTGGTGCACATAGTTTTCCTCTGGGACATCTGTTCTGATCCTACAGTGCATCTGACTGGCATGGATGTAGAATTACTTTCAATAAAGATTTTATTTCAAGGTTGGATGACTACCCCCCCAAACATCTTGTGACTAAAACCAAGCATAAAAATATACCAACTATTTTTTAACTTCTGCAAATCAGCTTTTAGGGGGAAAGTGTAAAATGCTCAACTAGGATCAGTTCATCATAAAAATAAAATGTGAACATATTAGAACTGATCAGAAGATCTGCAATATCACAAAATCAGGAACTACCACATAAAGCCTACCCTAAAGCCAATGACTGTAAAGCAAAAAGGACTGTTAGCAATGATGTACCTAACAGCAGTACATTCAGTATCTCAGGCAACCGAAACATGCCCATAACAGATTGTCTTTCAGGTTAAAACATTAACTTTCTATGTGCCTCACTCTCTAGAGGAAGCACATATAAGCTAATTTGGGGATAATTACTGGCACAGTGAATCTATGTAACGTACAGTCTTTTACCCGTTGAGCTAGGTCATGGGAATTTACAGATGAAATCACGGCAGCTATCCATCTACTTCAGGTACCTTGTTTTTGACAGTGCTCAGTATCAGTCCCCGGAAAATATGCAAGAAACTCTGTAATGGAGAGCTATAGGTATAGAGCAGTGATTCTCAACCAGAATACCAGGGTACCTTGGGGTGCTGTGAGATCCTTTGAAGGGTGCCACAGGAAATGTGAGGAGATAAGCAGATCAAGGCAGGCTCAGGCTTCAGGTGTGAGGAGGTAAGCGTATATGGGCAGACTCAGGCTCTTTCTGCCCAGCTACACCCCTGTCCTGCTGCCTGCTCCCTGCAGGTAAGCCCTATAATAAATAAAGTAGTTTTATTACAATTGCTGCTCGATTCACAAAGTTATGGAGGAGTGCCTCCAACCTGACAAGGGGTTCCTTTAGTCTAAAAAGGTTGAGAGCCACTCCAGAACATGTCCACAGAGGGCCTTCCTTCCTAACTCCAGGAGGTGAGTGGGTATGTCAAGAGGAAAGATGTCATATATATCGTGCATGCATATTTTTCTTTGGTTGTGTAGCATGGAGTTTTTCATGAACTATTATCCGTATGATAAATCTCTTATTTATCCTTTATTTCTCTGAGGTCTTGGCCTCAATACTGTGTGGCCTTGAGTTCCATTGTTTACATATGTGTGTGCAGGTATTAACACACACACACACCTGTATATACAGAAAGAAATTGTACATAAGGGGCTAAATATTGATGGTTAGAGATGTTACTTTTCTTTTTGTTACATTTTGGCATGGCTCAAATCCCCTTCTCAGCAATGCCCAGAGTAACATGCTTGAGTTGGTGGTATAATTCACTGACTTCAGTGAACTTGATGGACTTTTATACTAGCTGATGATCTGACCTGTAACAGGATTAGGCAACCTATGGCCTATGGACCCTTTGGATCCAGCCTATGGGTGTGGGGCTTTGGCAGCATCTTGCTTCTGACCCCGGGTGGGTCATTTTGGCCTGCAGCTGGAAAAGGTTGCCTACACCTACCTAGAGCATTTCAGTAGTTGAAACATTTGATTTTGATCATCTGTTACTCAGTTACTTCAAGAGAGACAGAATCAGATTCCTGAAAATTAACTTTGCAAAACAGCAAAATGGATATTGACTTGCAGAGACTATCTTTACATCTGGGCCAAACTGGAGGCTTTTGTTGCTGTAAAGGGCTTATGAAACAAGGTCAAAGAGTTCTGATTCCATCCAGTAGAGGACAGTGAAACACTTTCACATTAGCCAGCTTTACTTTTATCAAATATTTCCTGTATCAACATTTAATGGATTTACCTTAACATTTTTTTTTTGGTGGGGCTGAGGGGAAAAGAAGGGGTACTGTGAACAGTTTTAGGCCTTAAAGTGATTGAGAAGCAGTGTCACCAGTAGGATCTATTTTCCTGTTCTTCAGTTGCTCACAAAGAGTAGAAAGCACTGAAGTGCATTTACCAGCAGTCAGCTTTTGGAAGACTTGCCATCTCCAGCTTCAAACTCAATCATGATTTCACAGCTAAGTGTCTGAGAACTGTACGTTTAGAGAGGACTGGAGAGCCAAGCTCAGTGTATAATGACCACAGGAGGAGTATAGTTGTCCTGCACTCAGTTACATAGCGTCTGTTTCCAGTTACCGTGGCAACAGCCAAAGCACAAATTAAATAAGTATTTTTGCTTATATATCTGTCATTGATATTAGAGCCCTTCTATCAGATACTTATGTAGTTTTAATCCATCTTTAATTTCTTTTCATTATTATTAATAATGAGATCTTTTTTTTCAGTACAACTATCTTGTGGCTTGTGATCTTAAAGAACTTGAAACAGTCTTTGAGTTGGGAATTCAACTCACTATTTGCAAGAAAAAACTGAGCAAAAACAGCATACAGCTCACCTTTTTTGGACACGGTTTCAACATCTGCAGCACTGGGTTACAGATTCTTTCTGAAATTATCTTAAATTGATGGATCATTGCTCCTTTCATTTGGGCTTGACAAAAAGTAGCTCTGGCATTTCCTTTCCTTGTTTATGTTGTAAGCTGTATATCACTTTTTCTTCTCATGCCAAACATGAATTCTTGCCCATTTTATCTATTTTTTTTCTTAATCAACAGAATTTCGCTGTGCAGTTATAGGAGTAGTTTATATTGTGAATATTCTTTGTTTTTCTGTTTTTGTAAATGGAAGAAAATATGGCAGGCATAACTGGTAAATATTTGTATTTTAAAAAGGTATAAAGCCATAGAATCTTAATTATTTTCCTCAAATTGTAAATGCTATTTAAAAATGCTTGTTGCAGATAATTATGCTTTTTCTTGTAGTTTTATTTTATATTGGACCATTTAAACTAGCTAAAAGTAGTCTTTTTTATTGTGGCCACAATTCAGCAATACCAATACAGTTACACAAATAGCCAGGGGCTATTTAAGATGTTATATTTATTAATATTATATGTGTATGTAGAGGACCAAAATAGGGCTCTTGTGTGCCAGATTTTGTACAAATTCATAGACATTGTATCTGCCCCAAAGAACTTACAAACTAAAAAGATAATATAGGAAGCGTGAGAGGAGAAAAGGAGAGGGACAGAAATGTGAAATGACTTGCCCCAGTTCATACAGAAAATTAGTTACAGAGCTTGGAACAGAACCCTAATTAACGGACCAAATTATAACACTACTAATTTCTCATATGGGTCTCAATTAAGCCTTTGTGCTGTGGGTGCTGATTCCAGTGTGGGGAGTCATTCTGCCTCAGAGAGACAGAAAGCTAAACTGCAAAAGATTTAGATACGTAACTTAAGACACGTTTAGATCCTCAAAACATCTTCTTTAAGCCTAGAAATACCTAAATTCCTTAAGCGCCTAATTTCCCACAAGATTTCCTAGTCATCTAAATTTTTGCCACTTGATACGCACACAGATAGCGAACTCAGGATAACAGTGAGCTACTCAGGGCACTAGTGTGTGACAAAATAGCCCAGCATGCAACCCTGCCTTGAAGCTGAAGGGAGGAGGAGGCCTGATAGCCTCATGGCTCGGCTCTTGCCCAGAGAACAAAAGACACGGATTCCAGAGTCTCCCAAGAGGGGATTTGAGCCTGCATCTCTAGCTTCCCAGCAAAGTGCTCCAGCCACCAGGCCACATGTTAAGCATTACCCTGTTACCACATGTTAAGTATTACAGTGGGGGAGTGGTGGGCAGCATTAATGCTTCTCCACTGCTGCCAAATTTCCAGACCTGTAGGGAGCCCAGCAGGCTGGATAGCATGGGTCTGCATGCAGGGCTGGGGTAGTACCGGGCCAGATTCCAGCATGCAGGGCTGGGCTGAGGCAGTGTGGGAACCAGCCTGGGTAGGCAGGGCCTCATTTGGATGCATGGGGCTTGACATGGGCACATACAGCCCAACCCTGTACACCGACCCAACAAGGGATTTAGCCTGCAGACTGGCCTCATGCCATTTATCTGGCCCTTGAGGCAGAAAGATTGAGTGGCGTGGATCTAGATAATGCCCAGCTGGTAGCCTGGACTTACCCAGTCTTACAGGTGGTTACAGCACTTTGCAAAGATGCAGACTCAAATCCCCTCTGGGTGGGGGAGGTCTTAGAACCTGGGTCTCCTATTCTCTGGGCAAGTGACCTTCCTATAAAATATGAGAGGGTCTCATCCTTTCTCCCCTGTGATGGATTTTTTAACAGACTGAAATGTCAGGACTTATTCAGCCTGAGAGCGTCAGATCAGCCAGAGCACAACCCTACTGAGATGGACAGTTGCATGTCCAGAGCTGAATTGCAGTTATGCAGCTGCATAACAGCCATTTAAGCATGTAAAATGAAATAGGATTGAGCCCTCAGTGTCTGAAACCATAGCAGTTTTCACACATTATGTGTTTTCTCATCCATTGTTCCTGACTTGGAAGGCATGGTCTAAATATTCTCACTGTGTTTACCTTGTACAAAGGACAGTGTTAAGGTGGTATACTCCTTTTGTCCAGTAGCTTGGTGACTAGAGCGTTCCCCAGGGTTGTAAGAAATTCAGGTTAAAATTCCTGCTCCAAATCAAGCAGAAGAGCGATTTAGTTTTCCAGGTGAGCACCCTCAGGGCTAGTGGACAAAGTGTTGGGGACACAACTACCACCATCTTCTTTTCTTTGCTGAATTTTGTACAGTAAAAGACTGACACGGTGAAGCTGCCTAACTTGTTCCTTAAGTTTTAAGCTTGTTCCTCTCAGAATCAGAGTCACGGAACAGCAGCAAGTCCATCCAGGGGAAGTTAAACAGTTTTCAGTCCGGGTGCCTAAGCTGGACATTCAGACTAAAGTGGTCAGACAGAATGAAGAACGTTAAGATATCGGAGCAGGCACAATTAACAACAGCTGCACAAATAGTACAGGAGATAAAGGGAACTTACCTTGGCCATGTGCTGAGAATTCTGGGTAATGGACTTCCCAAACAAGCCCTGTTTGGGCAACCGCAAAGCAAAAGGAATTGTTACTTTACAACACATCGGTTCTGTATACACGTGTGCATTTACTGCTCATTAACCAAAATTACTGCGCAGTACAGGCACATGTCTACATATGTATGCCCATACTGTGCAGCAAATATGGTGACTTATATCGACGTGAGTGTAAATTTGATACCTGCACCATGCAGGTATCAAATTTATGCCCAATTAGTTACTGTGCAGTAACACACATGTAGAAACCTTACTGCACAGTAACACTGTTTGTGTGGACTGACTTGGGACTAATGCACAGGCATTAATGCACTTTAATGCCTGCATTTGTAGATGCTGGCCTATTCCTGCTTATTATGCAGTAACTTACTGTGCAGCAAATTTAAGCCAGCATAAATGTACATGTAGACATGCCCATAGCAATTTGAGTAAATTAAAAGGTAGGATTGGTTGGCAATGACTGACCTAAAACTCATCACATGCAGTGGTTTGTCTCACCCATTCATACAAAGTTTTATGCAATGATCCCTCAAAAGTGTACTTCCATATGGAATTTTTATCACATGGAAAGTTAAACTGAAATCCACGCGACCATTTGTATACTTAAGATTAAGCAGAAATACAAACATGTCTGAGAATCCAGACCTTTTTAATCACATGATAAATGCTTCTTGTATTCTGGAAGTGGCTGACCATATGAAAAAAATATTTGCAACTAGAACAAAATGTGTGATATCTATCAGATTGTCACATTTATTTAATTGGCACCTAAGCTACTAACAGGTAGTTTCTCTTCCCAGCTTTTAGAACATTGTAAGTTAATAATGCCACAGTGGAAAAATAATGTATTTAGGTTATATTTTTTCATTACAATGAAGATGCTGTATTTTAAGAAACTAATAATTAAGCCAATGTGATAAGTGCCATATGGAGAGTGTTTTGTATAATGGACACCACAGTATGAGTACGAGACAGAATTACAGTAATACTTCCTATTTATATATGCAGAAAATCTAAACGATCATTTGTGTTCAAGGAATGTTGTAAACTACACGATTGGCATGGTTCCACTACAAGGGGGTCTTCACCGCATGACCCACCCACCAACAGGAAAGGAACCTTTCTCTAAAGGGTAGAACAGATGATGTCTCATGCAGCTCTTGTGACTGTTAACATAACTTACTATAGCTTCACCAAAAAGTATTAGAGAACAGAATAAAATCTACTTTTAAAAAATTTCCATCAGGATTTTAAAAAGGTATGTGAAATAAACACACACGCACACCCACACACGTTTATACAGGACTGCTCCAGCAGTTTTTTCGGGATATTGATCCCCTTTTTCTTGCAGAATGATAAATTGTTAAAACTAAAATGTTATAAAATGTCCAAAAATGAAAAAACAAAAAAACAAAATCAAGGGAGTGTATAAAGTATTGAAGTTGCCTTTAGTCTGCATTCATTAGTAAGGGTAACTGTTCTAAAAGAATGCATATACTAGAGTCTTTCCCATTTAGTATATTTTACAATTTTTTTAAGGAAAATAGAAGTTTGTTCAATTGGATCTTCCTGGTAGAGATTGCCAACCTTCTTGCATGGGCTAGAGTTCTTAAATACTTCCTAAAACATTATTAAACTCACTCAGTTTAGAGGATATTGCTGATGATTGTAGGAAAGCTCCTCAACTGGTAGAAAATTCTATAACCCCACTCACTCACTACACATTGCCGATTTATGTCAGTTGAGGATCTAGCCCAATGGTCATGTCAACATTTTCTCAATTTGATAGGCAATCAGGATGTCTAATGTTGCAATGTTTCCAGAACTCTGAGTTAAGGTGTTGGGTCTTATTTTCTTTTAAGCGACGTGTCAGGATACGCACACCAGCATACTGTTATGTATATATTTCACTATCCTTTCAAACTACTTTCAGTTTCTTCATTCCTTAATTGAATGAGTTGGAAGTAACAAGCAAGGAAAGGTGGTGTCACATGTTCAGCTTAACACTTACTAAGTGCAGTTAAAACATGAGCAAATGCATGTTCAAGCAGTTTAGCATGTGCTAAGTGCCATCCTGGTATTGCAAAGTTGCTCCCTTTCAGGCAAGGATTATCTCACATACTAACTTCAATAGGTCCGAGCATTCCAGTGATTTGTACCCATTGCAAATGCATGTGTGATTATACCCTGTTTCATGTGATCTTTCATTTATTTTGTCCGTAAGTATCCACACTGTACCTGTATAGACGGCCATGTTAGCAGAAGCAGACAAGTTACATCCTGGAACCTCCAAATAAGTTAAACCTCTTTCAACCTCAAGGGCTTGATCTGGGGTCTAATATTCATTATTCAGATTCTTGTAATTAGATAGTGGGCATCCATAATTATAAAACAATATTTTAAAAAATTAAGGATAGGTGCCTTTCTACCTAAGAACTGAATTCCAGGCCCAAAAATCTCAAACGAGTACATATCTTGCTGTCTGCAACTGAATTTACTTTCACTGTTTGTCATGTTGCCAGATATTGCCTCTTCCCTCCCCCTTTTCTTACTTTTTGATAACTTAACCAAATAAACATCAGTGTTAGGAGAATCAGTAAAATGTGTCTCTACTTCAAATGCAACAGCGACTCCTTTGACATCCCTCATTTTTAACCAATTCTTCCCTTTCGTCAACAGGATAGCAGCCAAGGAATCCGTGAATCTTATGTCAACACAAAGCTTAGGAATTGTATTTGGACCAACACTCCTTAGACCTGAAAAGGAGACAGGGAACATGGCAGTCCACATGCTGTACCAAAACCAGATAGTTGAACTTATGTTAAGTGAGTACAGTAAGATCTTCAGCTCTGAGGAAGACTGACAGACAGGGCCTGTTATTGAAAATGTTCACATCTGTCTTGATGTCTAATATTTTTACATTTCTGTAAACATATTTCTGAAATATTTCTTTTTCTTTCAAGTGACAGATGCCTCATTTTGTGAAAACTTAATGATGATTTTGTGTTTAATTTTCAAACATTGGAATAAAAAATATTGTCAACATTTGCCTATATGTATTCTACATTAACCCTTTGTGAGTTTCACGTTGCCAGCACTCCATGTGTCATTTTGTGTCCCATTCTTTTCAAGCTGGGTGTAGAGCATATGGCCAAAGACCACAGGAAATGCTGCTTACCAGCATATGCAATGGCTGGTAAGACATGCAGCAATGGAGGATAGTGGATTTTATAGTGTATGAAACATAGTTAAATTGGAACAGACATGTCTCCTCATTTGTAGCCTTTTTTTTTGCTGTGAATATTATGTACCTGTTTTCCTTGCTATACAGTGAAAGTTAGAAAGACATGTTGTCTGATATCTTTCTCCTGGGAAAAATGACAGTTAAAATAGTTTCCAATGAACGTTTTTTTTAAACAAAGAAGAAGAGCCCTACTATTTGCAATATTATAAACGTTCTGTCTAAAAATATATAGACAAAATTAAATGCTGGACATTTTGTTCTTAAATACTGTACATGAAGTGTAGAAATTGTGTGACTATTCATTTTTAACATAACATCCATTTTGATTCTTCATCACATTGTACATCTTCCCTCTTTCCCTAGCTATGTCATGTTATGTAGAATTTTTATTATGCACTTGAGGATGTTTTATTGGTGAACTACATTAAATTCATCTAGAAAGAACTTTAAAAAAAAGCCTTTTCATATGCCCTTAGGATTACTTGGCTAGACTTGAATCAATTTATGCATTTGATGGTTAGCTTCAGTTGTCATGGATAAACAAAAGGGTAACTGTCTAGAATATATCAAATATTGTTTTATTTCAAAATGTATGTTTCCAGCAATACACATCTTCTACCGTTTTGTAAAAGTATTCTGCTGATAAAATGTAGACTTATGTTTGACAGCTTTTTAATCAAGTTCAAAGAGAATAAATAAAACTAATCCAGTGTGGTAAAGAGTCTGTCTGGTTATCGATTTGTTCATAAAATGAAAAATAAACCATGTAAATAAAATGTGTGAAACACAGATCTAGAAGCAAATATTTAAGGCAATTAAAGACCCCAAAACATAGGATTAATGCATAGATCTGCTGTGCTTGAGAGATATGTTGCAAACATCACTCCTAACAGGTCAGGAATTATACCAGCATTGTTTAGCATCGTTTTACAAACTGTCACATTGTTAAGCAGGAGAGGTTGCTCCTTAGAGTGATCATCTATGAGAATAAATGTATAATGATGCTGGCTCATTAAGCAAACACAGCTCTAAGATCAGTTGGTAAGACTGGCAGAACCAAAGTAGGATCTGAGGTGTAGTTCAGTTACAGTGACACCGGTAGGTATAAGCACGCATAAAGAGACATACAGGGACAGTTATCAGTGGTAGAAATGAAAGGTCCGCAAATGGTGGACATTTCCTTCAGTGAAAAAACATGTAACATCAGTGTCTTAAGACAGAAGTACAAGTCTTTCAAGCATCTGAATTCAATAAAATATCACCCCTCAATACCTTTCACACTTCTATGTCCAGTTCTGAGGACATACGCATTAACATTGTTAGTGTCCTAGTCTAGATTATTTCAACAGCAACCTAACAGGCCTGCTTATGGTCCGCGGAGCTGACTACCAGAAAGGGAGTCAGGAGCCGAGTCCATCCATTAATAAAGACCATTTACATTACAGTCCTGCAGGTACTCACAGTCATGCCCTTGAGGGCATTGCCACTATTGTCAGAACTGATACATTCACTTTTTACTTAGATTCTGAAGCAGCTAGAAGACATTTCTTAAAAGGGAAAGAAAAAAAAAAGCTGTCCCTGGGATATGGAGCCTCTTCAGGAGCCTCGAAGTAGTGATTCCTCACCTGAGTATTGCATTAAACATTGTATTGCATGCCTGTGTACTCCTAAGTATTCAGTTGACTGTCTTCACTTTACAATCTGAATATTCTGGATATAGGAGGCATCAGTGCTTCCTATTAGAATTCATCCAGGCTGTGGAAATGAGCAGCCTATGCTTTGCCACCTGAACAGAATATTT